TAATACAATATCATCATCGAACGTTAAGCGTGCGGACCCTACAGGTTCGAGAACTATGTAGACATGACCGAGACACCTCTCAGGTCAATAACCAAGAGCGGAACCTGGATTCTCTTATTGGCTCCTACATATTCTATGAAGATCTTTATCGGTCGGACTGTTATGACAACATACACAATTCCTTTGTCCATCGGTATGTTACTTGCCCGAGATTCGATCATCGGTATCTTCATACCTAGTTCAATCTCGTTACCGGCAAGTCTCTTTACTCGTTCCATAATACATCACCTCGTGACCAACACCTTAGTCATTTGCTTGCAAGCTTATGATGTGTATTACCGAGAGGGCCCAGAGGTAACTCTCTGATACTTGATGTCTACTAGGCAACTTTCTTCTTGTAGACGTTGTTAGGCCTCCAAGTGCAGAGGTTTGTAGGACAGTAGCAAATTTCCCTCAAGTGGATGACCTAAGGTTTATCAATCCGTGGGAGGCATAGGATGAAGATGGTCTCTCTCAAACAACCCTGCAACCAAATAACAAAGAGTCTCTTGTGTCTCCAACTAACCCAATACAATGATAAATTGTATAGGTGCAGTAGTTCGGAGAAGAGATGGTGATACAAGTGCAATATGGATGATAGATATGAGTATTTGTAATCTGTAAGGTAACAAGTGGTAAAAGTGAGCGTAAACGGTATTGCAATGCTAGGAAACAAGGCCTAGGGTTCATACTTTCACTAGTGCAAGTTCTCTCAACAATAATAACATAACTGGATCATATAACTATCCCTCAACATGCAACAAGGAGTCACTCCAAAGTCACTAATAGCGGAGAACAAACGAAGAGATTACTATACGGTACGAAACCACCTCAAAGTTATTCTTTCTGATCGATCTATTCAAGAGTCCGTAGTAAAATAACATGAAGCTATTCTTTCCCTTCGATCTATCATAGAGTTCGTACTAGAATAACACCTTAAGACACAAATCAACCAAAACCCTAATTTCACCTAGATACTCCAATGTCACCTCAAGTATCCGTGGGTATAATTATACGATATGCATCACACAATCTCAGATTCATCTATTCAACCAACACAAAGAACTTCAAAGAGTGCCCCAAAGTTTTTACCGGAGAGTCAAGACGAAAACGTGTGCCAACCCCTATGCATAAGTTCACAAGGTCACTGAACCCGCAAGTTGATTGATGTCTACTACACAACCTTCTTCTTGTAGACGTTGTTGGGCCTCCAAGTGCAGAGGTTTGTAGGACAGTAGCAAATTTCCCTCAAGTGGATGACCTAAGGTTTATCAATCCGTGGGAGGCATAGGATGAAGATGGTCTCTCTCAATCAACCCTGCAACCAAATAACAAAGAGTCTCTTGTGTCCCCAACACACCCAATACAGTGGTAAATTGTATAGGTGCACTAGTTCGGCGAAGAGATGGTGATACAAGTGCAATATGGATGATAGATATGAGTATTTGTAATCTGAAAATAAAAAAAAGCAAGGTAACTAATGATAAAAGTGAACACAAATGGTATTGCAATGCTAGGAAATAAGGCCTAGGGTTCATACTTTCACTAATGCAAGTTCTCTCAACAATAATAACATAATTTGATCATATAACTATCCCTCAACATGCAACAAAGAGTCACTCCAAAGTCACTAATAGCGGAGAACAAACGAAGAGATTATGGTAGGGTACGAAACCACCTCAAAGTTATCCTTTGTGATCGATCTATTCAAGAGTCCGTAGTAAAATAACACGAAGTTATTCTTTCCGTTTGATCTATCATAGAGTTCGTACTAGAATAACACCTGAAGACACAAATCAACCAAAACCCTAATGTCACCTAGATACTCTAATGTCACCTCAAATATCTGTGGGCATGATTATACCGTATGCATCACACAATCTCAGATTCATCTATTCAACCAACACAAAGTACTTCAAAGAGTGCCCCAAAGTTTCTACCGGAGAGTCAAGACGAAAACATGTGCTAACCCCTATGCATAAGTTCATGAGCGGAACCCGCAAGTTGATCACCAAAACATACATCAAGTGAATCACGTGATATCCCATTGTTACCACAGATACGCACATGCAAGACATACATCAAGTGTTCTCAAATCCTTAAAGATGCAATCCAATAAGATAACTTCAAAGGGAAAACTCAATCCATCAAAAGAGAGTAGAGGGGGAGAAGCATCATAAGATCCAACTATAATAGCAAAGCTCGCGATACATCAAGATCATATCATATATATATATATATATATATATATATATATATATATATATATATATATATATAGAGAGAGAGAGAGAGAGAGAGATCAAACACATAGCTACTAGTACATACCCTCAGCCCCGAGGGTGAACTACTCCCTCCTCATCATGGAGAGCGCCGGGATGATGAAGATGGCCACCGGTGAGGGTTCCCCCCTCCGGCAGGGTGCCGGAACGGGTCTAGATTGGTTTTCTGTGGCTACAGAGGCTTGCGGCGGCGGAACTCCCGATCTATTCTGTTCCCCGACGTTTTTAGGGTATATGGATATATATAGGTGAAAGAAGTCGGTCAGGGGAGCCACAAGGGGCCCATGAGGGTGGGGGCGCGCCCAGGGGGCAGGCGCGCCTCCCTGCCTCGTGGCCACCTCGAAGCTTCCTTGACTTCAACTCCAAGTCTCCTGGATCACGTTCGTTCCAAAAATCACACTCCCGAAGGTTTCATTCCGTTTGGACTCTGTTTGATATTCCTTTTCTGCGAAACACTGAAGCAAGGGAAAAAACACAAACTGGTAGTGGGCTCTGGGTTAATATGTTAGTCCCAAAAATAATATAAAAGTGTTTAATAAAGCCCATAATCATCCAAAACATATAATATAATAGCATGAATACTTCATAAATTATAGATACGTTAGAGACGTATCATTGATCACCAAAACATACATCAAGTAGATCACGTGAATATCCCATTGTCACCACAGATAAGCACATGCAAGACATACATAAAGTGTTCTCAAATCCTTAAAGACTCAATCCGATAAGATAATTTCAAAGGGAAAACTCAATCCATTACAAGAGAGTAGAGGGGGACAAACATCATAAGATCCAACTATAATAGCAAAGCTCGTGATACATCAAGATCGTGTCATATCAAGAACACGAGAGAGAGAGAGAGAGAGAGAGAGAGAGAGAGAGAGATCAAACACATAGCTACTGCTACATACCCTCAGCCCCGAGGGTGAACTATTCCCTCCTCGTCATGGAGATCGCCGGGATGATGAAGATGGCCACCGATGAGGGATCCCCTCCGGCAGGGTGCCGGAACAGGGTCCCGATTGGTTTTTGGAGGCTACATAGCTTGCGGCGATGGAACTCCCGATCTAGGTTATGTTCTGGGAGTTTGGGAATATATAAGAGGTGTTGGCGTTAGGAACAAGTCAGGGGGTCCACAAGGCGGCCACGAGGTAGGGGTGCGCCCGGGGGGTAGGGCGCGCCCCCCATTCTCGTGGTGGCCTCGGGACTCTTCTGGTCCATCTCCGATGCTCCGTGGGATTTTACTACGGACTCTTGAATAGATCGATCAGAAAGAATAACTTTGAGGTGGTTTCGTACCGTATAGTAATCTCTTCGTTTGTTCTCCGCTATTAGTGACTTTGGAGTGACTCCTTGTTGCATGTTGAGGGATAGTTATATGATCCAGTTATGTTATTATTGTTGAGAGAACTTGCACTAGTGAAAGTATGAACCCTAGGCCTTGTTTCCTAGCATTGCAATACCGTTTACGCTCACTTTTACGGGGACCACGGGTGCCTTCCATATCAACACTTTCTAAGAAATTTATTATTTGACAACATAAAGTAAATTTCTTTTTCATTTCAGGACTGGGCATCCCTATTGCCGTCGTACTCTCGTACAGTGACAAGTGAATAAACACTCATCTTAAGAATAATACATCTAGCATGGAAAAATATTGGCCACCCCCGCCGCTTCATGAGCGGTACGGACACACAAAAAGGAAATTCATTTTAAAAATTAGAGATGACACATACAAATTTACTTAGAACGGCACAAAAATACCGCATATAGGTAGGTATTGTGGACTCATATGGCAAAACGAGGTTTAAGGATTTTAGATGTATAAATAGTATTTCTATTTAGTACAAGTGAAGGCTAGCAAAAAAATTGAGAAGCAACCAACCAAGAAACGAAAATTCTCATTAACGAGCATTAAGCATAACTAACACCGAATAATGCATCACAAGTAGGATGTAATTGCATTGCATGACTATTGATTTTCGTGCTTGCATAAGGAATTACAAACCTTAACACCAAGTATTTGAAAAATATTGAAAAGTATTTGAAAAAAATTAATGATTATTTAAAAAAATGTTGATTATGTATATAAAAAAGTTAAACAAGTATATAAAAAATGTTGAACAAATATCTGAATAAAATGTTAATCATGTATAAAAGAATGTGGAATGAATAAAAAGAAACAAAGAAAAAACCAAAAAAATGGAAAAAAAATCTGAGAAGAAAAGGGAAAGAAAACGGAGAAAACCTGCTCTGATCGCCCCTAGTAGGTCGCGATCCTACTACTAACCATTAACTGGAAGCAGGCTTATTGGTTAGCTATGCCTTTGCTTCCCCTCGCGACCAGGATTCAATTCAGGTCGAGCCCCATTTACATTTTTTATAATTAAAAAGACACATGATGCACAAAGGCGATAATTCTTTTGGATTTAACTTTTTTTCACCAAATGTTGATTTACTAGAAGCCGGCAACTAGTGATTTGGCTAATGGGATGCACGGTTCCACCTTATAGATTACATGTGGTTTAACACATAAAGCAACAAGAGGTCTTTGTGTAAGTGCCTTGACTAGCTGGCACAACATATACTACATGAAAGTTCCAGTAAAGGGATTCAAATTTACAGAGCAACTCGACTGATGCTTGCTGCACATGATCAGCTTCACAAGCGACTCGGTCAGCAGGTTGACAATATAGGCATGGCAATAAAATTCACATTAGTCATAGCGAAATTCTTGTTCAAGAAATTCCAGCAAGTCTGTTCCTTCCTTCCGTTCATGCCACACCGGATAGCACCAATATGGCTTAGGCACAGGCCATCTGTTATGATGAAATCATAAGTAAGTCCATGAATAGTGCATATCTGAATCAAGGTCTTGTTGAATGCATAATAATATTTTAAAAACCTGTTTGGTGCGGGAACTTTGGTAAAATCAGCAGTCCTACACATAAACCAAAAGGTATAGTTTTAACCAGTTAATATGTAAGACAAGAGGCGAAATTTATTGATGATGATGATGATGATGATAGAAAACATACCCTTTTGCATCAAAATTCCCCAAGAGTTTCACAATTGTATCCCGTGGCATGTAGGGAGTTTCTTCCAAGCCATAGAAGTTCATGCCAATAAAGTTCCCATCAGAATCAATAAGAGGGCCCCCAATCCCAGCCTAGCACAAGACAAAAGTAACCAGTAGAAAGAACATGATGCTTGTAAGTTACACAGATATGTTGATTGATTAAACTACACATACTTCCACCAAACAAATAAATGTAGTAGAAACTAACACACCATACCTTAGTGATTTGACAAGTGGAGATCCTAAGATCTTTGCAATCGAGTTTACTTTCTTTGTTGATCACTATCCCACTTGCTGCCATTAATTTGCCTGATTCATAGACACGCCCTATAGCTAATACCGGCGAGTGAGTGCCAGTTTCAACCTTATTGTTGATAATTGCTGTCCGAGTACAGCGAAGTTTTTCGATGATGATGACAGCGACATTATAATGCAGATCGTAATGTTGCAAAATCCCTGTGACATGTCGTTTATCTGGAAGGTGCACTTCAATCTGCAATAATGATATGGTGCAAGTAAAGCAGTATTCAAATGAAAGAGTAAAAAGGGTATTTAAATAATTATTAGCAGAATAACAACCTTTAAGTTATCAGCAACCTTGCTTTCATCGTCATTACTTCTAACCAAACTTCCTGAGGTTAGAACTCTTGTGGTGAACCCATTGCTGTCTATGAATACACCTGTGCAAGCAAAAAGTCTCGCTTCTCCTACGGAAGTAATAATTAAGATCATCAGTTAGTGATGAAACAGAAGAAAAATACACCACAAGTAATAAGCTTGTAACCAATACGATTACCACTGAATGAAGCGAGTGCTACAACAACTCGGGACATATTTGAAGCTGCTCTTTCTGAGAGTTTGTTCCAGATATCTTCACTAAACTCCTCCTCAAAACTATAACGCAGACGCTTGCCATCTAGTTACAGAAACATGGCATAATAGTTTAAGGGAGGGCTGAAAAGAGTAGTCAAATGTGCAATCAAATAAAGTAATCACCAAAAGGAAACGAAATAACTCACTGTCCTCCAAAACTGGTAAGGGGTAACCACGGAACCTAAACTTATCTCTTCTAGCATCCAAAGATACTGCACAACATGGTAAAGTGATTGACGACCAATGTATGAATAATTATGAAGGAAACTGAAAGCAATGACTCACCAAGACCCCAGTCATATGGCCACCGGCGAATAGAAGGCAGACTCTCTAGTAATGTATCCTCAAGTCCTAGTGTCAAAGGGTGAAGCAATTACTCCCTCCTTCCATCTATATAGGGCCTAATGTGTTTTTCGAGGTTAACTTTGACCAAATATTAGAGCAATAATATATGACATGCAACTTACACAAAGCACATCATCAAATTCGTATGTGAAAGGAGCTTTCAATGATATAATTTTCACATTATGCATGTCATGTAGTATTAATTTTATCAACAGTCAAAGGCGGTCTTGAAAAACGCATTAGGCCCTATATAGATGGAAGGAGGGAGTAGTGACGATGCGTGAGCAATAATCAACATGTAACATTAAAAGTGACCCAACCTGAATTAAGTTCTGGGTCACATATAGTACATATGGTAGGTTTCTGGTTTTTATTTTTCATCTCCTGCCTTGAGCTGCCTAAAATGGAAAAGATGAAACAAGGAATAAGCATAACTTGGAACACCAAAAAGAACTATCAGTTCAGGTGTGTATTCTCACATAGCATATCCATATACTTAGTATGAACTAATTAGCACAGACAATAATATGATAGTATCATAATAAAGACAAGCTTAAAACTAAAGATGTGTACTGCTGGCATGGATTATACAGATGATCATAAAAAGTTAACATTGATGATGATGGATTGGCTGATGGTGCATAATTTTAACTGTCTTTAAGGAGTGAGTTTTTTTCCCTTACCTTCTAAATCGGACTTGTGAGATTCAGGAGACATTTGTGCCTTGCTTGCGCCTCTTTCAGTTTTACTACCTCTTTTCTTACTTGTGTCCCTGCAGCAAAATATGATATACTCATGAGTAAATCCACAAGAGTAAAACATAATTTTAACTGTCTTTAAGGAGTGAGTTTGTTTTCCGACGGAGGGAGTAGATAATAGGCATGCATCACTATCAAAAATATATAAATCTGAAGTGTTAAGCAGTGGCAGGATGGGGAAAAATAGGGATAGAACCCAGATGGTACTAAATATTTCAACAACAGAGAAAATGTTGAAAATACTATATCAATACTGAAGGAACCTTGACTACTTTCCATTTAAATAAGTATAATAGGTTCAACATGGACACCAGATTCCTAATCAAGTACATGGCAACTGTATGATGGGCCTGACAGGACAGGTGATATGGATGCAAGTGTTAAGGTAACTCTGCTACTTGTTCAGCTATACATGGAGCAAACGACCAATTTGTTATAAAGGCAGATGCTCTCAAGTGAAGATCACCTACCAAATGCCATTATAAGCTACAAAAGCATCAAAACAGCTAATAAGCCATCATATTAGCACACACACACATACATTTCAAAATTGTTTGGCATTTAACATGGTTTCTAGTACAGCCATGTATGAAGTAAAAAAAAAATCCACATCGGCTATTGATGTGCAATATTATTGTCAAGTACTTCACTTCCTATGTTTCTTGATGTGTGGTCAGCTCCCTGGAAATTCCAGCATGAACAATAAGTTCACAGCAAGGAGCCAAGATGCTCTAAGGTTATCAAGAAATTGCTTTGGTTAGACTACACCTGTTGTTATCCAGCATAGAATGCGACTAGAGGTGATGCTTATAGTAAATTAGCCTAAGAGTGTATGATACAAATTTATCTGCGGCATAAAGAGCAAGAGACCACTATTATACCACGTGCAATCTAGATTGAACTTTCCATCATTTTCATTTTTCCTAAACATGTACATTCCAAGTGAATACAAACTAGTAAGCTCGAATAGGGAAAGATAAAGAGGGGCAGAACAGTGGACAAAGAAGCATATATATTTAAGCCAATCAGAGATTCTGTGTCTCATGAGTATAGAAGACATACCAGCACGGGGATGTTCTCCTAAAATGCATCAGAAGCTCAAGAATTTTATTCCTTGGTAGGAACGGAGTCTCTTCCTTAGAATAAAAGTTCATCCCGACAAAGTCACCGTTAAAATCAACAAGGGGCCCTCCAACTCCAGTCTAGCAAAAGAATAAAGTGCCGCTCAGGTAAGCACACAAATTTAGTGATGCTGGACAAGATTTGCATAACCGAAAAAAGGCATACATTTAGTGCCCCAAGAGATATACTCCCTCCGTCCCAAAATAAGTGACTCAAGTTTGTACGGAGGGAGTAGTTCAATGCATATAGTGGTAGCCACTAACAGTGGCGGAGCTTGAAGCCCAGTCCTGGGCGGGCCAAACAGAACGAAATAAGCAGTGGTCTCATGTTCTAAGGCCCCACAAGTATATGTATACTGTATTAATTTCCAGATGTTGGGCGGGCCACAGCAATGGCTGGCCCCAATGTAGCTCCACCACTGGCCACTGATAGCATGATATTATTAATTTATTTCATGCAGAAAAGTAAAGAGAGAAATCAACGGTGCACCATAGTAATTTCACATGTGGAGATCGCAAGCTCCTCGCGGTAAATTCTCTTCCCATTGTCAGTCAACATCCCAGTTGTGGCCATTAATTTGCCTGAGTCGAAGCAACGCCCAACAGCAACTACTTCACTATGAGACTCAAATTGCCGCTGATGATCTACAAATGCTGCGCGAAAAACATGGAAGGGCGCGATGCTGATAACAGCAACATTGTATTTTAAGTCATAGTATTCCAACCATCCCATTGAAAGATGATTATTTGGAAGGCGCACTTCAATCTGCAATAATAATAAAGCACCACAAAATGAATACACATCAGTTTGCAGAATGATTACCATCATCACAAATCAGCAAGAAACAAACAAAGCACAGAAAATTGGCAGTACCAACCATCATGTCTTGAAAGATCTTGCTATCATCATCAATAGATCTAAGCAAACTTAACGAAGTCAAGAAACTTGTAATAGTTGAATTGCTCTCAATAATTATGCCCGTGCACGCAAAATAAACCGACTTTGCTGCACAAGATTGTAATTTCAAATTTTCAATGACAAGCAACTAATGATCAGGTACAGATTTGCAATTAAAGCTAACTTGTATAATCACCGTTGTCTTTATGGAATGAAGCAAGCGACACAACACTGTCATCTATGTGTGCTGCGACTTCTTCACTGAGTAGCCTCCAGACACCTTCACCAGAATCACTTGAGGTGCCGAATTCCTCTTCGAGAGGATTGACTCGAATCATATTTTCTAATTCAGGAAGCATTATTAAACACAGCTCTGTTCGAGTGCTATAGTACAAATCATACTTGCAGAAAAGAAAGTAGCAAAATTAAAATCAATCCTCACCGCTACTTATGCGCATTTTTTTGCGTCTTCTATTCGAGCTTCCAGGTTGAACATCCCCTCGCTGGATCTGCATCTTTCTACCTAGAGAAGAAAGAAGAAATTAAGATATTTAGTCATCATTAGCAGTACATGGGAGGAGTCCGTAAAGAGGGATCTTAAGGACTGTAGAGATCGGGGTAGACCGAACTTGACATGGAGGAGTCCGTAAAGAGGGATCTGAAGGACTGGAGTATCACCAGAGAACTAGCCATGGACAGGGTTGCGTGGAAGCTTGCTATCCATGTGCCAGAACCATGAGTTGGTTGCGAGATCTTATGGGTTTCACCTCTAGCCTACCCCAGCTTGTTTGGACTAAAGGCTTTGTTGTTGTTGTTGTTGTTGTTGTAGTCATCATTAGCAGTACAAACACTATAGAAGTTGGTAGACTAGCTTGTTGAATGTGGATACGTTCAGACAGGGCAACCCGCCCAAGGCCTCTTATATAGAAGCTAGTCAGTGGTGAGCCGGACGACGGCGAGACAGGAACGAGGTCGAGACAGGAGGCGCCGACACGGGATAGACGGGTCCAGCAACGTAGGTCAGCTGGGTAGGAGCTCAATAGACGTGGTCGGCGGCAGAAGTGATCAGGGGCAGGGGCGGGGAGAGGAACGGTGGCGAGGGTGAAACCTAGTCGCATGGGAGAGAGAGCCGCAACGGATCGAGACAGGTCAGGCTGCAGGTGGGACTGAAACTGGGCGTCCCACCACAGCCCACTTAGTCCGACCAAAGTTTGGTGGGTGATAAGTGATAACTAACAACCCAGTAAAACTTGGGTGGATTAGCTGGGGCATAAGTGGGATTCCACTAAACAAATGTATAACTGGTTCCTTCTCACAGACTTAGAGGCCACGTAGGTGCGACCGTGATAAGCAACAAGCATCCACACTGCAGTAAATATGATACAATGCTTGGCTGCTACATGGTACAAGCAAATATGATACACTAGTAGTAAATATGATACACTGGTACAATGCTAGGCTGCTACATGGTACAAGCAACAAGCATCCACATTGTAGTAAATATGATAGATCTAAACATAGTTCAATGTGAAATGAGATAAAATATGCTGCCGACGACCTTGGGGTCGGGGTAGGTGCTGGCGGCAATCACGTCCTAGTGAAGTAAAGAGTGACAGGTTTTCAAAACTGTAACAAGCATCTGCAAAAGAAGAAGAACTATATGTAGAACAAGCATCTGCATTGGGTTTCGATGAAATTAAGGACCTCACAGAAAATACCTTACTTTGTGGCTTTGTTCTTTCTTTGCTTAAGTGCTTAGTGCGTGTACAGAGCGTTCGGCAACAATAACAGTACCTCATTCTTGTCACAAAGGTGCAGGCCACCACAAAACATTATCTGATGTACAAATTGTGACACGGAATTTATACTAGTTCTCTACATTTTGCAGGCCCAAACAGTTTTCAGAGCTCTTCATGCTTTAGAGATAACTTCAGATTATTTATGATATTATGCAGGACCATTAGATAAAGGTAGACACAATATTAATTCCAGATAGCGTAGCATATGTTTGCATTGTTGCAGACATTCAGTCAACTGTGTTACTTTGATTTTATTTTAAGTGTAACTGGACTACATTCGGCTCCTTTGACTATCATTGGCATGCCCAGATTTCCTTGTTGAGGGCTTTTTATTGGTAAGACGTAATCTCACTTGTGCCATCGCTTTAGAAACAGTAAATGTCTTCACAAGAGTAACAGAGATTATGAATTAGATTCGTCAATTTAACTCCACTTCCATTGATTCCAACTGTTTTTGTGTCCTTATAATCCCCTATATATTGTACCTAAATATGCAGGACAGGCAACTTGAATAGGTTGAACAGCGAGTTGCTACGCCTAAACATCGTAAATGAACTAACATTGACTTGCTATTGTAAAACAGAAGTTAAGGCAAACACGTAAAAGAAATAAATGAGAATTCCATAGTCTTGTAACTAGAAAATGGCTTAGGTTTCAAGCACGATGCAACAAATCTGAATCCTTTCTTGCCGTGTTGTACTTATTCCATTTTCTACTTCCTAAAATGGCTTGGGTTCAAGCACGATTCAACAAATCAGATTCAGTTTCTCGCATCTGTTGCTAGCTCTCGTCCCACATCACATCTGAATCCTTTCATGTACAGAGACGAACAATCAATCATGGCAAGGATCTGAATCCTTTGGCTAACAAGTTGAACAAAATAGAGAAAGAATGGATGGAGGGGAAGAGGACGATGGAGGGGAGGTCATACCTGTAGAGGCGGAGCTCAGGTCGGCGGGGCTGGCACGAATCGGTCCGGTGAGCTGCGCGCTGCTCAGGGGCGGCGAATGATCCAGCGAGCCGCGTGGTGCTCAGGGGCGGCGAACGGCGAGGGAGAAAAGGGGCGGCGAACGAAGAGGGAGAAGAGCGGCGGCCGGAAGAGCAGCGCGCCGCCGGCGGGCAGGCCGGAGGGGCGGCGGCTCAAACCCTATCCCCGCGAGAGCTCGGAGCCGTCGATGGTTTGTCTTCTTTTCTTTTTCGGGAAGACCGTGTACACGAGGATGCAGTGCGGTAAGGT